TTTAAAAAATTCACATTGAAAAAATTAAATGCACTGTAAACATTCTTACTTATAGCAGGTTTAGGTGTTTTAGTTAAATAAATGTATGCTTTACTCTGTCTCAGCACTGGGAACCATACAGGCATTATCCAGAGGTTTGTGGCAGTGTTTCAAAAGATTACAGTCTTGTTTTGCTACCATCACGGTCAGAAATGAGATCTTAATTTAATCAACTCACTTCTTTAATTCATTCATTCTGCAAGTACTTAGTTTATCTCAAAATTTGACCTTGGCTTTATCATAGTCACCAATTACAGTCCCTGACTGCATTCTTTTATCAAATTTGGGGGGAAAAATACCTCTCTGTGTTTTTGAAAACACATACTTTACTGAAGAGTATTTTTATTATATGCTATGAAGTCACGTGAAAATCTAAAGGGTTACAATTCTCTAGTTAGTAATGCATTCCCTGATTAAGTTCTTACCTTGGGAACTCTTACCAAGAATATTGAATTGGTTTTGAAAGGTGATTTAAAGGGAGATGATTAGATAGCAATGGATAATACCAAGAAATGTTTAGGACCAGATACTTGAGCTGGACAGAGGCAGGACATCAGAGTGAACAGGAAAATATGCAAAACAAAACACAAAGCAAATCAGAAAAACACAACCACTAATAGCAACAATAACAACAACAAATCCTCCGAGATATTATTTCAGTTCAGGGGAAACAACCACTTTGCATCTGTTTGTTATAAAACACACAGTTCCTTGATTAGCTGCACCCTTTGCTTCTCAAACTTGGATTTGCATAAAATCACCTGCATTTGTTAATGCAGATTCTGACTGAGCAGGCTTGGGGCGGCTTGAGTGATGGTGATGGTGATGGTGATGGTGATGGTGATGTGCTGGACCATGGGCCACGCCTCAGGGGACCGAGGTGGAGGCCCAGCAAGCATGGCTGCTTCTTGCCTTCTCCCTGTCTCTCAGCCTCCATCTCCAGGTAATTCTGCTCCTTTATTTGGGTTATCAGGCATTTCTCAGGTTGTCTCACATTAAGGTTCTTTGACTAGGAAAATTAAAAACAAAACAAAACAACAAACAAAAGAACCTCTGGATCTTTAAAACGTTTTTTAAAATGCCCTGATTTCTCTCAGGTGCTTTAGGAATGCACCTCACTGTCTCCAGACTTCCACGGTTTGAACTGCAAGAGCACGGCTTGCAGGGAGAGTGAAGGGAGAAGCAGGGGGCAGGCACTGGCCCTGCCCTGGAGGGGCTGGCGTGGGCAGCTCCCCCAGGCTCTTGGAGATGTCAGTCAACTCATACCTACTCCCTGCCCTGGGCGTTAACTCTGGACTTCGGTGAAATAATTTTTAATGCAAATGTTAAGAATTCACATTCCTAATATAAAAATTTACTCTTCCGAGGGGTGAGGAAGGTATAAATTTACAAAAGTTTCCTTCAGCTTATTAGTAAGCATTACAAGCCTCCAATATTTCTAACTCAGCCTTGATTAAAACTGAGATGAGACCAAAGATCACAAACTTCTATCGCAGGAATTTTAAGAGGATCCAGGTGCTTTTGAGAATGCAGAACCCCAAGTCAACAAATTTCCTCAGTTCGATAGATAAGGTAGATGGAACAGTGGTATGGGAGCTGGCATTCATTTTGGGTCAAATGTATTTATTTTGTACCTTGTCATAAAATTGAGATTCTATCTAAGATTTTACGAGTAAGTAAACAAGTAATAATGAAAGATTTATTTTAATAACTCCTAAGACTATTGACTTTTTGAGACTATGACTGTTTGTCGTAGGGAACTATATTTGTTAAGAACATTCACTGTAGAAAACTGCTTATAAATTCTGTTTGGTGCAGCAGATTGATTTATGCCCCAACCTTGGGGTGACGATCATCTCCCTGATTAATTTATCCAGTTTAAACAGTTCTGCTTACTGCCTTGGAAACAGGAACACAATATTCATCATGCAAAAAGCTTATTATTCAAGTAAAATAAATGATGCCAATAATTAACACAAATCAGAATCTCAGTGTTCTTTTTTTGTGACACCAAACCTCAGCTCTTGAAGTTTTGCTGACTCCTCCCTGGCCCTTTATCTAATCTTTGTGTATACCATATAATAAGTTCCCTTGAGACTTGACAGCTTGAGACAGCTAACACGCATGACCTCACAGTTGCCATCAGGAATCGGGGTGCAGCCTAGCTGGGGAGTCCTGCTGTTGGGTCTCACGAGGGTTCAGTCAAGGTGCCACCTAGGGTGTGGTCTCATCTGAAAGCTTGCCTGGGGAGCGTCTTCTTCCAAGTTTACTCCCGTGCTTGTTGGCAGGATTCAATTCCCTTCAGGTTGTTGCATGGAGGGCCTCTGTTCATCACAGGCTGTTGGCCAGCGGCCTCCCTCAGTTCCTTGCCCCGTTGGCCTGTCCATAGTGGGACTCATCATGGCAGCCCTTTTCCTCCAAGACGAGGGCTCCGAGAGAGAGAGAGAGAGAGAGAGAGAGAGAGAGAAAGAGACTGAGGGAGGAGAAAAGAGGAAAGTAAGAGTCTTTTTTTTTTTAAGCCTAAGCTCTCTCTTTTAAAAAAAATCACTGTATTGAAGTATGATGACATATAAAATGCTGCATATATTTAATGTGTACAAGTCAGTGAGTTTGGGGCCAAACCATCACCACCATCAAGGTCGTAAACATCCGTCTCCTCCTACAGTTTCTCCCTGCTCCTTTTATTGTTGTTGTTGTCATATTGTGCATGTGTGATAAGAACACTTAAGATCTACCTTCTTAGCAGATTTTAAGTGTACAATACAATATCGTTGGCTGTAGGCACCATGCTGTAGAGTAGATCTCCAGAACTTCTTTATCTAACTGAATGTTTGTACTCTTTAATCATCATTTCCCCCACCCTCCAGCCTCTGGAAAGCACCACTCTACTCTCTGCTTCTACGAGTTTATCTGTTTTAGATTCCGCATGTAAGTGAGGCCATGCAGTGTTTGTCTTTCTGTGCTTGGCTTATTCCCGTTAGCTTAATATCTCCAGGCCCATCCTTACTGTCCCAAAGGGCAAAATTTCCCCCTTTTAAAGGCTGAATAATATTCCATTGTATGTATATACTGCATCCTCTTTCTCCATTCATCCACTGAGGAACATTTAGGTTGTTTCCATGTGTTGATCTAGCCAGTCTCTAAAGGTACCTCCCATCACTGTATTCTGCTTATTAGAAGCGAGTCACCAGGTCCAGCCCACACTCAAGGGGAGGGGATTGCACAGGAATGTGAATATTAGGACCCAGGGACCGTCGGGGGCATCCTGGAGTCTTTCCCCCACGGGTAGGAAGGGCTCAGTGAATCTGAGTTGACTGCCTTGTTGTGCTGGATGGCCGTCCTTGGCAATGAGATGCATACAGCAGGGTTCTGATGCAGACCCTGTTCAGACTGAGTCTAGGTCGGTTGTATTTGACTGAACAGCTGGCGTTCTGAGCTATAGGTCAAGAATCCGTGGATTCCCACACATGTACAGTTTGTTCTCAAAAGTACGTGTTGACGTGTTGTCTTCTTAAGTCCTGGAAGAGGAATTAAGGAAAGGTGGCTGAAAGCCTGAGATCCGGGTGACAGTAAGCTAGGCCTAGTTGGTGGGAGGGTGGCCGTGGAATTATAAAAGCTTAGGACATCTTGACCTCGGGGATTTAGATCCGGCCACCTCAGGGAGGCCTTCCCCATGCATCCAATTTAAATTAGCCATCGCTTCCCCTTTAATTCTTTGCACACCTTAGCATTTCCTTGTTAGCATCTGTGTTTGTTTTTTATTCCCCCAAATATTGACTAAGATTTCATTTCTGACACTGCCTTTCCCACCAGATAGCCGGAGCTTCCGAGCTCCAAGTTTCATAATTAAGATTTTATCACGTGCCCCAAAATAGTGCAAATTGTGCTCTTAAGCCTGGCATAAAAGATTTGAAAGCACTTCACCTAGTAATTTAAACGTAAGACTTTTGGCAGCTTTCAATTTGGGGTATTTTTAATTCTAATTAAAAAACTATTGAACATTAATATCCTCTATACAGCAGCCGTTGTGCCTCTGTGCTCGATTTTGGCCGTCAAGCTCTTAAACAAACAGCTTGGTTGTGTGGCTGTTACGGCCCACGTGGTTTTTCTTGGCCTTTGGGAATCGCCAGGTCCCAGGCATAATTAGTATAAATCAAAATCCTCTAGACTATGACAGGGAAATGGTATGTTTGAACAAGCAGCTTATTAAAATGACCTACTTAATTTAAGAAAAATATTGTATCCACTCGCACAGTAACCTGGATGCTTTCCCTGACAGATTTTATAATATTTCTTCTCTCTCTCTCTCCTTCTCTCTTCTTTTTTTTTTTCCTTTTAAGACAAGGAAAGGGAATGGAAAGGCCCCTTCTACTTCATCCAAGGTGCAGACCCACAGTTTGGACTGATGAAGGCCTGGTCCACGGGGGACTGTGACAGCGGTGGTGATGAGTGGGGGCAGGAGATCCGTCTGACTGAGCTAGCTGTTCAGGCCATCAACAAACTGGACCCCAAGCCCAAATTCTTTGTTCTGTGCGGGGATCTCATCCACGCCATGCCAGGTAAGACTTGTATCGGTGCTGTGACCTTTTCTCCTTCACCCAGAAAGAAAAAAAATTTTTTTCTCTTAAAAGACGTCTCTATTCAGGAATGGCTGGTTCCTTTTCACGACTGTTGCAGTATCATCAAACATCAGAAAACACAAACTCGTTTTATATTTAGAATTTGGCAAGATTAATCACAGTAATTAGGCAGAGCTACAGTTCTGATGATCTGAGCTTACTATGAAAAATGGAACAGATTCCCACGGGTCACCTTTCTTCATTTCTAGGGGACAAACTTGAACTGCTTTCAGGTCCCATATCCATAAATGTAGTCTCTTTTCATTTCTCTTCTCACACTTTTATTTCTCCTGTATTAGTGCTTTTTCAGTTTTAAGTTATAACCTAACTTGAACTGGATTAATTTTTTTTGAAGATTAGTGTTACCTTATGGGACTATATAAAGTCCGGGGGCAGATCTGGGCTTCAGGTCTGGCTGTATCCAGGGACTCAGAGGTTGTTATCAGGATTTGGTCTCTTCGTCACTCAGTCCTGCTTTCCTCTGGGTTGAATTCAGTCTCGTGCAGGCTTTCTCTAGGTAGTGGCTCCTGGCAGCTCTAAGCTTATATCCCTCTTACTGAAACCACAACAGAGATTGTCTTATTCTTGGTGGCGCAGTCTGAGTTCCAGACCAACACCCATCCAGCTCCTGTGGCCCCATGAAGCCAGGGTCTGGGGTCGGCTCTATTGCAGCCAAGTGGTCAGAATAACAGGATGGTTCCTCTAAAGAAAAGTGAGATACTAGGAATGTGAAAATAACAGATGCCTTTTAGAACTTCCTTCCTTTTTGTTTTTTCCCCTTTCCTACTCTGATATCCTTCTCTCCCAGGTAGGTATAAAGCTCAGTGAGCAAGTATAAGCAAGTGGAAACCACCCCTGCTTGTCTGGGAGGCAGAGCAGATGCCCATGGTCACTCTTATCTGTGTCCTAGTCTCAATGTAGTGGAACAGAGATGACCCAGAGACCATTGCAGAAAAAAACACTGCAGTTGCTGTGGATGTTTGTTTTTGGCTAACTACCTTGTACACAAAGACTCCTGTTACGATTTCTAAAGCCTGTGGAATCTGAGACTCTCTGCAGCAAGCCTGGGTGCATTAATTCCTCCCCACCAGGGCTCGCTTGTCTGGTTAGCCTACCTATCCAGAACAATCCCAGAGCGGACATGTGAGGATGGAAAAGGGACCACCCAGAATGGCTCTCCCTGAAGTCCAGGGAGTGTAACTGGCAGGGAGATCCCTCAGACCTTCCCTCATTCTCTGTTTATGCATGTTTTACACCAAGTCATGATTGTGGACATGCCCACGGCATGGACTCCCACTGGGTAGAATCCAGTGATGCCATCCCTAGAAGAGCAGCCTGTCCTGCTGTTGGGCCTGTATGAAGGTGGCAGGATGGGGAAGAGAGGAAATACGGTGAGGGACAAAGACCTGAACTAGGACTCAGGTGGCCGGGATGCCAGCTCCACTGAGACGTTAGGCGCACTTGGCCAGACCCCTTGCCTTCTTAGAGCCTCGGCTTCTGAGCCAAGAGCCCATTGATGCTGTAAGGATTTAAAACCGTGACAGTCTGGGGCCACACAGTACAGGGCAGACGACTCTGTACCTCCGTGCAGGTGCTGAACATCTCAGCAGCTGGGTACAGAAATGCGTTCACAGGATGGTGCTGAGTTTTGTTTTGTCAAGAGGTAAAATCATAGCCAACTGTGAACTTGGCCGTCCTTGGTGACTCTGGCTGAGGGTTCCCCAGTGCTGAGACTGTACACTGCTAAAGTGACCACAGAGTACCCCAGTTTCTAAAGGAGTTAGAAATCATGGCAGGACTCGGAGTCTCGGTTTGCAAGGTAAACCAAGGTAATGTGTTATTTGGTCCAGCAGAATAATGGTACTTCCAAACAGTCTGATTTTCAGTTAGCTGGTTTCTTTGGAATCATTTGGCCCGATATGCGCTAGCATCAGCTCGAGCTCTCCCTCTGGACCACACAGTGAGCAAACTTCTGCTTTTATTGGATCCTTGAACACAGATTCCAAGTTTACTGTTTTTCTGTCCAGTGGTTGTTTTTTTTTTCCTCTGAAAATAGAATATTATGAGGCTCTCTACAATTATATAACATGTTCTTGTAGATGTTTACCGACTGGTTCTGAATTATGTTAATATATTCAGTCATATTTCAAAGTAAGATTTAAAAAAAAAAGGATTCCGTATGATTGCATTGCTGCTTAAATAAAGTGTGCTGAACATAATTCAATTAAAAGGTAAGAGTTTTTATGATCAACTCTACCAGTGGGTCAGAAGACCTTATAAATGTGAACTGGCAAACTTTTTGAGTAATTGTTTTATATTCAGTGTGACTCGAGTGGAATTCATATCTGTTGTGAAAATTTGGACTGTTTTGAAGTTGTAACTGAGCCAGGACTCAGTTGCAGGACTGTAACTGTTTTGAATATTGTGGCCTGAGATTTAAACAGAACATTTTGAAACTAGTTAACCATTTGTTTTTGCATTTAATTGCATTTTTTAATATGCAATTAGTGGCTTCCCCCTCACTTAGCTCATATGCAGGGGCAGACGCTGGAAAAGTAATTATTTGCTTTGACTGCTTAGCACATTGTTAATTATCAAATGCACATATTAATAGACAAATACAATCAGAGCGCATATTTTTAATTCTACCATAAATAATATCTTGGGCCAAGCAGTTTTAAGTTCAAATTGAAGAAAAAGAACAAATCATGCTTTTTCTAAGGAAAGTCATAATTCGCTTTTCCATTGTAAATATCCATCATAATATTCGCTCATCTGCAAATATTGATTGTGTGCAAACGAAGTGCCAGTTACAGCACAAGATGCTGTGGATGTAATAGTTGGAAATGAGAGACCAGCCCTGTCATGGAGCTTACAGTCTGGTGAGGGAAGTGCAAAGTCCAGGGTGGCTAAGAGGCACCTTTGGTGCCATGGCCTGCAGGAAGACGTCTAAGAAGTGCAGGGTAGAGTCCATTTGGTCTTGAAACGTATGTTTTCATTCTACAGGTGTATTTTTGGTGGTCTTGGTATTTTCTTGTTTTATAAAGCTTCTCTGTGGGGATAAAGCACATTATAAATAGCAGATGAAGACTTGTACAAATATTGAGACCATTGATTTTCAGTCCTTCACTCTGAAGCGCAGGGTGACTTTCTTCAGTCCGCCCGACACTGAGGCATCGACCCACTGACGCTGTCCCCAGGAGCCTTGTTAGATTTCAGTAGTTACGTGAGAGGCCGACAGATCGGAATGTGATGATACAGTCAGAGGGCAGGAGGGTCCCTTCAGCCTTTGGAACAGTTTGCTGTTAACGCATGCATCCATCCCTGTTTGGTAACAACTGCCATAACTGAACAAAACAGATGTGGGAAGAATTCTTCCTTGCTGTAAAGTCTCCTTGAAGACTTTGTTGTTTTTGACCTCTGCCTGGGCAGCTGTCACACCGTGTTGTTTCCGCTGACTCAGCCTCCGCAAGTCCTCTGTTAATGTAAAGTGAGGCAAGCCTGCATTAGCATCGTTTCGATAGATGGTGTATTCCTTTCCTGTGGCCGCTGTAAAAATGACTGCAAACTTAGTGGCTTAAAGCAACACAGATTTATTCTCTTACAGTCCTGGGGGACAGAAGCGTAAAATGAGTTTGTGGCGCTGCTTCCTTCTGGACGTTGCAGCTTCTAGACCCATTTCTTGGGTCAAGGCCTCTTCCTCCATCTTCAAAGCCAGCCACATAGCATCTTCTCTCCTCGCTGACTGTTGATTCATCCTCTCATTTTCTGTTACTCCTGCCCTCCTGCTTCCCTTGTGATTACATCGTCCTATTCAGATAGCCGAGGGTAACCCCTTCATCTCAAGAGCCTTAACTTTATCACATCTGCAAATTCCCTTTTGCCTTGTGAATTATCATATTTATAGATTCCGGGGATTGGGCTGTGGACAACTTTGGGGGACCATTATTCAGCCAGCCACAGCTGGCATGGATGAATTCTGGGTCTGTTATCTGCCGCATGGAGGTCCCTTGGGGAGGTCGAGCTTCCTCTGCAGCTGGAGACCCCCAGGTGAATCTTAATGGAGTTTGAGAAGCACTTAGTGGACTGAAATGCACAGTGCCCTGGGGTTTGTTTTGTTTTGTTTTATTGTTCGCTTTCCAATGTATTATGAACAGTTTTTGTGGGTAAGCAAGTGGTTTGTGAAAATTCCCTTTAACTCTTAAAGATAGTGGTATTTAGCAGGAAGACCCTCATTGCTTTAGACTTAACCATGCTCAGCTTCAAAGGGAAATGGTTTAAGTTTGTAGGTTTTGTTTCGCTTTCTAAAGAACGGTTTGGATATCTGTAAGGCAGAGTGACCTCTGCTATGCAGGACTTCCAAAACAGGACTTGACCAAAATAGGCAGGAAAACAGCCACACCTCTATCTGTCTTAAAAGGATCTTTATGTGGAATGGTTGGGGAGCTAGCACTGGTTCTTTGGTTTGGGTCATGTACGTGGACATAATCCTTTATCTGCCATCCCAAAGTTCAGAAGGGTCTGAACTGTAAGCGTTTTTGCTTACTTTTGAAGCTAACTCAGTTGGTGGCAAAACTGACCTGAACTGACATGAGGCTATTTATAGTCTCGTTATTTATCCTACTTAGTGAGAACGTTCATATGTTTTGCTAGTGAAATACTACTGTGTTCTGTTACGGGGTGCTCTCTGAGGCCCAGCCGGATGTGTTATTTAAGGTGCGCCCTACGCCCATATTGCTATTTTAAAGTTTAAAAAACTCCAGATTTCTAGCCAGATCTGGCCCACAGCATTTTGGATAAGAACATATGGATCTGCAATGTTGATAATTTGGAATTTAGAGACGAAGAAACCTTTCATCACTAGAAGCAGAAGGCTCTTTCTTTCCCCTCGTTTACTGTCATCCCCTGAGTTAACGCTCTGCACACCCTTTGCACAGTAA